ACAAGGAATTCATTGATACCTTTTGCAAAACAGGATATTAACTACATGGAATAATAATAACATTTGTAGTCTTGTAAGAAAGAGATATCAACCAATTAATTTCCAGTTGTTGTATTTAGATATACATAAAATGTGCTTGGCAATGAGAAATCATACTCTTGAAAATTAAACAAGCATCTACTCTTATATCTATCCTGTTGCTAGGTTGTAATACGTGGATATGCATTTAACAATTGAATTATTACGATCAAACATTTCATAGCTGCCACAAAGCTTAGAGGTAGACAGATCAGTTCTCACTTCACCTAGATACACTTGTCCCAGTTTATTAATCCAGTTGTATTTGAAAGCTAAAGTCTGCACAAACATCAGGATATACTGCAAACAACCAAGATCCACTCTTGTGAAGAGGTAGGCTCTGGAGCCACAACATTAGTGTGTCAGCTTCCAACTGTGGAAACCTCTGAACACTTTGGATGAAGTCACTAAACACACACAAGCAAGTATCCACTCCAAAATAAGTTGTGTTGTTCTCCACTCATAGACCACATGCATTTATTACTAGTGTCTTCTGAGTGCATTACCCATATGTCCTTATATAATTTCTCTGCCTGAATGGGCTTATACCAATTAAGAAGCATCATTGATATAATTCTGCTTGAACTGGTATCAGCTGTCAAAATCTGGCATTAGCTTTTTGTTAACTATGTATGAATGTCAGGCTGTAATTGTTTAGAAACTATTTCCAAAACCATCTCACATTTTAAAAAATTAAAAGCTGCATTTAAGCATAAAAGCTATTTACAACAGAGCTGTTTCTTTCTGCTTTCATAACCCTGCATTTAAAATTCATCAATGGTACACACAGCAAACAAAGAAGAAAGTACAAATCTTTATGAATAAATAAGACAGTGCTCTAACAAGTTAGGAAAAATATGCCACTCAGTACAGCAGTTACCGATTAAACAACTTAAACAAAAAGCCCCAGACCTTATATGCATAATGAATGCAAAGAATCCAGGAAATCTGATTAGCACTTTCCGGGCCTTTCAGAGGCCTCTGAACCTATAAAGATCCATTCCAGTGGCCAGGTATACTGCCACTTGTTTTCAAAATTGTCTGCTCAAATTTCAGCCTTAAAAATACTCACAAAAGTCAAGAGAAAGCACTGGGAAGAGACGGAGGGAAAGAGAATAAACTACCCAGGGACTCTTGAAAGCAGTTGTGATGGGACATTGAAACAGCACAAGTTTGGAGGCTGCAGAAACTGTCTCATACTGTGAATTGCCCGGAGAAAGCTACACCATTTTAAAACAAAAGCTAGGTTTCTATACAGTATCACCTAGAATATTTAGCTTTTTTATTGTGGCTTATGAAAGACAAGACCCCACTTCCATGATGTTCTTTGGAAACTCCTGCTCTTTCCATGCTCAGTATCTCCTCCAGGGACAGACCAGCCTGTCTGTGCTCCAGGGAATGCCACCTAACCTGGCAAGGTAAAACCTTAGTACAGACAAATTAGACACTGTTTGTCACAGTGCTAGCATTTGTTTTCTTAGGAAATGTTTTGATAAAACACACTTATGTTTCCATAATTAAGTTGTTTTCCCTCCTTTTGATTACTAAAGGGCTAGTCGTATGAAAAGAAAGCAGTGCAATAGGTTCCAGCATGCTCTTCTGGCACAAACTGTCCTGCCCAGAAGGGAAAAAAAGCACTTTCAAAACATGCTGACAGTTGTCTGATAGGACTGAACCATTCATGTAAGTATAGAAACAACACTGAACAGCTGTGTTTCCAGAAAAATCCCTGCAAGGACTGTTCTGCTGCTAATTAACTTTATCAGTAGTGACTTCATTTTCTTCCAGATCACAGATAGCAAAGTTGGCAAAGGAGAAAGATTGGGAATAGATCGTGAGAAGGTGAAGACACTAATTCACAACACCTAAGATAGCTTTGTAAACTGGGACACAACCAGTAGGTCTGCACAGCAAAATGTCAGGTTAAATACTAAGAGAAGGCATTTCAACAATGCCTTCAGCCTAGGAGACTCATGCACACTACAGTTCTGCTTCCACAGAGGATTCAGAATAACTTCAGAAGCTTTCATTCTTCTGGCACAACCCCAGTTTCCTTTTTATTGCACTTGAAGAATAGGGATATAAGCTGGTGTCAACTTTCCTAAGTACTCCCCCAAGAGCAAAGATGAAAAAGAGTCTGGGAAACTGCAAGAGCAACGGTGCATCTGAAGATCTGCATCCATCTTGCCTGGTAATCCTTAACATGGTAGCTGGGAAGTAATGAGAGTGGTAGGCATCCACTCTAAAGAAAGTAGGCTTTCACAGTAGCAAACAAAAAAAAAATTACTTAACAGCTTTGTCATGTACTACAATGAGTACATACAAAAGTGATATAAAATAATAAACAAATGTATTACCATGATGGACAGGAGCTGTGTCCAAATTATGATTCTCCAGGTGCAGAATGAAAATAAGAACATTCGTAATTAAGTTAGGTGGAAAGACCATTATGAAGAAACTCTTACAGGAAAACTATGTTTTTTGTTTTTTTTTTTTTTTCTAAAAATTCTCATCGGGTTTACCCAAGTTCGGCAACAATATTTTAAGAAGTTCTTGTCATCTACAGAGACCCCTCTTTTACTATCTTCATTTATAATATAAAATACCTTAATATGAGATGATCAGTACGATAGTTTATTTATATTGAAATAGGATTGCACTAAGGGTAAAAGTTATATTCATTGCTTATGTAGCTGTGAGGCTGTTTCTTCTGACCTTTTAGCTACAGAAAACCTTGACTCATCTGTCTCTCATCTCCAAAATTTCCTTCTCCATAACTTCAGTTTAGCTTTAGGCAAGCTGAGCAGAAGTACGCTGCCTGTTACTCATTTATGGCTAAACAGTTAGTCATATTTGCATTCTATACTTGATGGTTCTCATTCACTGCTTCCTATTAAATGTTCTATATGCAAGACTTCTGAAAGAGTTGGAATTAAATAGTAGGTCAACTGGCTCCAAGCCTTCACGGCAGATAATGAACATTTGGACGAGGTTCTGAGAGCCATAAAAAGAAACATACATTAAAAAGATGAGATTAGACTAATACAATTTATTTTGCTTTTCAAAGAGAAAGTTAAAAGCAGATGAATGGGGGAACTTTTATGTTACTATTATCTAATCTGATGGCACGGTCCTCTTCAGTCTGAAAGACAAAAGGATGAACAATGTTCAAGACTTCAAGTTCAAACTAGATAAACACAGATGAGGAATAAGGCTCAAATCTCAAGCTGCAAGCACAATCAATCACAGCAAATTACTGTTTAAAGCAGCTTCTCTTTTATTGCAAATCTTTGAATCAATATAATCAATATCAGTTTTTTCCTTTTTTTTTTTTTTTGTCGGGGAGGAGGGGGGGGGTTGGTGTCCTTTGATTTGTTTTTTTTTTTTTTTTTGTTGTTGTTGTTGTCGTCATAGTTTTAAAGATCACCTAATTAAGCCGAGTTACTATGCTCAAAAGCAGGCCACAAGACTTCCGCAACACAGTTACTAAGCTACACACTAAGTCAGACCTGCTGGTTTGGGGAGGACATTTGGGCCTTAATATTTACAAACAAACCAATCCACAGGCTGTAAATTCCTTCTCATGATGGTCTAAATCAAGCAAGATCTAAGCCACACCAGGAAATTTGGATAAATTTGGTGAAGAGAGTCCCTGCCTCAAACAACATACAGTCTCCAAAGACAAAGTAGGTTTCATGTTGTAGGGAGGCAAATATGAAAAGAAGTGAGACAACTTGGACCAAGGTTAGTCCCAGCTTTCCCAAGACAGTCTGTCCCATAATATGAACCAATTCACTGTTAACACTAGTGTCATGTTAGCTCTTCTTTTATCAGAACTCAGACAACCCTAGGTTGATTCAGTCGACCACAAAGTTGTGCAAGGACAACAGAACCTTCAATGGCCCTTTTGTATCAAAGCCTCTCCTATATGGCAAAGAAAAAAGAAACCAACACATACAGCACATACATGGAAAGAATTCCTTTCCTCTTAGATTCCTGGTTGTTGTGCTAGTAGATGAAGCGTTTCCAAAGAGCTCACACTGCAACAGATGTCATTTTCAGACATCATCTGCCAGAAGAATTTATATGACAATGATGAGGAAAGCTACACACATCCCCTTTACTCACTGGACAATTCAAAATACGAAACAAAACACCCACACCTTTTAAGAGAGCTCTAGAATTCTTAAGTCTCAGTTTGGAAAACCCAAGGTCCACTATTTTAAGAAGTAGAATTGATTCAACAAAGTATTCATTTAGAAGTATATTTTACCTATGATCTTACAATGTCCAAAGTCCTATCTCCACCTTTCTGTGAGACCTAAAATTGTCTGCAAATACCATTTGGGATAGACCAATTGCACTGTGATGTTCCAAGACAGTGGACCGATCATCTTCTGGGCCAACAACCTACATATTTCCTTCCATACAGTTTTGAGTCAACAGTAGAAATTAATGATTTATTTCTGTTCTGAAACATTTATTTTCACAGTCAGGGAAATAAGATTTGTGGTGCCAAAGGCCCAATAACATAGTATAGATATATTTATATGTTCTTGTAATTATATTTATACTATACCTGAGGGATTCAACTCAACAAATAAATCTTGTTATGTTCTATGCTATGCAAATAAACATTCTATGGTAGAAATAAATAATTTGCCCCACTCCAGAATCCTTTTCTCCAAAAGCAGGAAACTGTGCTATCAAAACCAGTGGTCTGTCAGCTAGCAATGGTCAAATCCTACCGAACTGTGAAAAGTTGTAGCTTCCCATTAGTTGCATGCCATAGCATACTGCAAGGGGAAAGAACAGACAAATGGGACGGATTGGGGGGGAGGGGGGGGGGGGGAGGGGGGAGGAGGAGGGGAGAAAAAACCACACACAACAAAAAAAATTCAATGTGCTTTGTGTATACTTACAGCAGTACTCCACTAGGACAAGCAGTGTCCCAGACAAGCTGAGATTGCCTACATTGTACATGTACGTTGTGGTTTAAGAGCCCCAAAGCTAGCTCTTCTTCGTCTGCTTTTCTCCCAACTGTGCAAATACATCACTGATCCAGAAGGGTGAAGACATACAGTATCATATCTGTAAGTAAACAAAGGAGGGGTAAAACAAGGTAGTTTACCCATGTTTGGGGGCAAACAGGTCTTGAAGTGCTGATTTTTGCCACGCATTATTAATCAGCAAGGCAACTCTCGATTTATACGTATATGACTGTCATATACGTATTAACCCTGAGAATTACCTCAGAATTAACCCTGAGCTTAATTCCATTTACTTTCTTTAATGTCACCACTTTGATGGCATCCTACATTATTTAATTGCATTTATACTCACAGCAGCCTTGCAAATGGGAAAGTACTATTATCGGTTTGACAAGCAGGGATCTAAAGCACAAAGAAACTGAATGACCTATTCAAGGTCACAGAGAAGTCTGTTTCAACAAAAGCACTAAATCCCATATTTGCCTGAGTCCTTTGACAGCATGATCCAATAGGACTGTCTGCCTATGTTGTCTCCTCACTGGTACTCAGTATTTGCCTTGTAATTGTCTTAAATTATTTCTTTGTAGTCTCAAAAGAAATTAGGCACACGAGACAAATCAAAAATAAACTAGGAGAAAGAATTTGACCTCAGAGATTTTCTATATAGGACTCTAAATACAAACACACAAAGAGAAAAAATCACTTTTGTACTTCATAGAGGCAGGATTTTCTTGTTTCAAAATATATTCTTCCTGATGACAGCAATGCAGCATAAACAAAGAGATAAAACACAGTATGCCTCACATACTGGAGAAAAAGGATTTTCTCCTTTTCCTTTTTTTTTTTTTTTTTTTTATTCTTTACACATATTTCATCTTCCTTCTCCTTGCTTCTCCTCTTCCTTTCATTAAGGCAGATAAGTGAAGTTACAGACACCTGTTTTCCAGTTAATTGCAAGTAAAGGCAGTTTTACTATTTCTCTAAGGATGATGCAGCTCAGACTAAAAAATATTTCATGTTCAGATAGTTAAGTCTGGCTCTAAAGCTGCTGAGATGCACCTTGCTCAGAGCTAGCCCATCTTCAGAAGGATCTCTGTTCACAAAGTAGGATGGGTTCAAAAGAGGGTGCTGGGAGATACCAGAGTTATTCATTTTAAGAAAAATCATGTGAATAGAAAAGAAAGTAATTGAAAAGGTAACCAGGTACGTGTCTCAAGGAAGGCAAACACAGGCAGAAGTAAGTTAATTTACTGAAAGGTCAGAACAGAATCAGACTCGTGTTCTCCCAGTGCAAGCACAAGGAAAGCAGATATGGGGAGGAACAGACGATGCCAAGTAAATAATCCACACAGTAACTGCCATAAAGAACTGGCAACTTGTACAAAACTGGGTGCAAAGGGAGTAAGGGGGGCAGAGAGGAGGTGTTACTGAATAAAGCATCAATTCAAATTCAGGAGATGCAGACTATACTCTCATTTGTCAATGCCCATTAAGCTATTTGAACACATTGTTCCCTTTCCACTTTTCAAAGTCCCTACTTGTAAAATAGAGCACAATTACTACCAATGTAATTGCACAATAATAATGATAGCATGGTTGTGGAGCTCCATGCAGTGGTGCTCTTGGATTTCTGCCAGAAAAAAAAAAAAAAAAAAAAAAGCTAAATATTATTACTTATCAAGGAATATCTCCAGTCATCTTAAATTCCACTCTAACAGCAAAGAAAAAAAGATCAGTTAAAAAATAGAAGAAACCAGCAACTCACTCTTTAACACTTCCTAAGTAGTGCTCCTTCTCACTAGTGTTCCTTACACACCAGGACCTCAGCAGGACCCTTCGCAGCAGCACCAGGTGCTGGTTTTATACCAAACCTCCCTGGGAGGTAGTATCTGAGCATTGCCCCATAGCAGAGCAGCTACAGGACTAGCTCAACGTCCTGCTTCAGCCCATTTTAGGCATAAGCTGACCAGGCTGCAGCCACGATGCAAGTTCACTCAGCTGGTTTTGAGGAATGGCCCCTTCAGGGCTACTGGCAGCTGCTGCTGCTTAGTGCTTTGAGGCTACTGTAATCAGCAAGGCAAGTGGTCAAAGAATTTGCCATAGTCCAATATTTGGACTTCCAAAAGTTCTCCAGTGGAGGAATGAAACCAGAATAGTGGATTTAAACTTCTTGTTAACAGGCCTGCTTTCTTGGACCCTTTTGTGAACGGCTTTGAAATAGTTCACAGATTGATGAGTTCACCAATAACGACTTAAAGATTAAGAAATCCTAAACCACACCTCCACGATGTCTAGATTAGTTTTATCAGAAGAGCAGAGCAAATAATCTTTCCCAAGGTCACTGCTACAAGTAAATTGAACTTGTAATTTGTTAGAGTGATTGAACTCCCCAAAGGAAGAATATAAATCTCTCTAGTATATGGGACATCCATGTTAGCTCATTTCACACTGCATATTTTCATTAGCTGGCACCATGGAATGTGCTCCCCGACTCCATATGCTCCAATTTTCAAACTGTCTGCAGATTTTATGCAACTTTGCCAGGTGAGGGATTCAGACCCAAATTTGGAAAATTTTACCCCTGATGCAGCATCTTGGTGTCAATTCTTCTTCATTGCTTTTGCCCACAGACTATCCTCTGGGGCCAGCAGGAGACTCCCCCCCACTGTTGCATAGCACTTTGGGATGTAATTTTTATCTTAAGTCATGCAAAAGCCTGTCTGTGCATAGGTGACAATACTACAGTTATTATTGCATTCATTTTTGCTCTGACCTTTAAGCTTCTCTTGTTATAGTATGCCCACTCTTTATGCTCAGTGAGCTTTCCTTTTGAATTAAGAGGTGAAACCTTATGATAGAGGTAGCCTATGTATGCCAGCTTTTGTGAGAAGAAAACATAACATTTACTTTTTGTGTTGGAGCATTGCACTTGGGAAACAGCCGTCACACTCTTTAAATATGAGGCTCCATTTGCCCAAAATTGCTGTTTTGCTGTTGCTGCCCTCCAATACACATTCATTTTCTTATGGGGCTTCTTTCTAGTTCCCAGATCCTGCTGGAAGGATAGTTAAACAGTGTTTGCAAAAAATAAAATAAAAATAAAAACGGGGGCGGGGGTGGGGTGCAGCGGCAAATGCTGCTTACTCAAGAAAAATAATAAAAAAAGCCGATCAGCTAAAATGGTACAAAAAAACACTTTTATTTCCAAGAGCGAAAAAAACACAAAGGAATTAAGAAATGATAATAGCAGGTGATAACAACTGGTTTTGATTTGATTTCTATTAATTAAGATTATGATGGACATTAGTGTCTTTCACTTAGAAACTGGTAATCCAGACAAAACATGAGTAGTTACATTTAACCTTAAGCTAACTCTTAGAATAACACTATTTAATAGAAATGAATAAACAAGCATGATTGGCATGTGGGCCAATAGAGAAAAAGGAGTCTCAGCAATCAGTCAACAGAACAAGCCACGGGCCCCAACAGCAGGGACCATAAAGGAAACACCAATACTGAGGCACAGACTAGTCACTGTCCAGACTTAACTCCGAGAACAAAGGCAACACAAGGGGGCCTTGTCAAGAATTGCCCACTGAAGCTTTTAGGTTGGAAATTTTACTACAGCAAAAATGTTCCCCATTTCTACTTTGTTTGGAAATCACAGATTTTTGCAAAGGAGAATAACATTGAAACATGAAGTAAATTTCTAAAATTCCATCTGTTTGTAAGTTATGAATGAAACAGCCAAACTCATGCTTATGTTTTTTTTTTGGGGGGGGGGGGGGTAGGGGATGGAGGGATGGAGAGAGGTGTCATATTTTGTTCCTTCAGCTCAAGTCTTTGATCCATTCTCATGTAACGTATGTATGACACTATGGCACACAGAATGCAGGATTAGTTTCACAAGAAAAGCTAAGAGCACATTGGCAATCTTAGAAAGCAATACCACATTACAAGAGTCTGAACTAAAGAAACAGAAACTCTTTTCCAAAAACTCACAATAGCATACAGGTTTTAGAAACTTCTGAAGGTTGAGACTGGCTCTTATTTTCAGTAGCACTGATGCTGTCCAAATACCAGGGAAGCAGTCTCCAGTACACCGAGCTTACTTTTTGAGAGGTTATCCTTTCATTTCTGATACTTGCTCTGCTAAACTCAGATGAAAGCTGAATCAAGCTAGCCACCAACTCAGTATGTAACTGATGCCACAGCTCCTGTTCACATATAGAGTGGATGCCCTTGATCATTGATCAACTCGTACTCTCTCAGGATCTTCCAGTATCCACTCAGAAATTTTCAGCACAGGATACTGGCTGGTAGCATGTGCTTTCAGTTATATCAGCTCATATTTTATGCTGAGGCAGGGAGGGATTCTTGAAGAACAAGTATCTTTCCAAACTGTTAACATTACTTTCATGTCAATATACATCACATAATTAATTTACAACCTTCTCAATGAAGTCCTCCAATTGTTATTTGGACATACAAGAAGGAGGGAAAAATCAAAAACAAAACAAAAAAAACATACTTGCACATGAAGGCAGAAATGCAGCTAACAAAACACAAGAATCTGGTTGGCACCTTATTAATGCCTCCGTAAAGTAGCCAAATGCATGTCTCAATAAATCTCAGCCATTCTGGTGTATGCTATTTTTCAGCCTTATTATTTCCAATATTTTGCCTGTCATTTCTGAATGGCTTCTCAAAAATAAAAGCTTGTCCTTGAGAAGCCAGAAAAAGTTACTGTATTTTCAGTCTGAATCACCTCATAATGTAAGCACTGAAATGCTAGGAATAATGTAAACTCTACAGTAAAATACAATGATATAGTATACCTAGAAATACCTCAGCTTAATAGGTGTTGTGCCATTAACAGTGAATTTTATGGAAGCTAGTAGATGTAAATCTGTCAGGTAGACAAAGATTTACAGTAGTATCCACTACAGTGGACGATTTTCATCACATTTAGGACTGTCAGGCAACTAGCGTGTTTTCTTCGGTTCCTTTAGTCGTGAAGGCCCCTTCATTTTATTTAAAGGCTGGTTCTTTCACCTTCAGGAATTCAGCGCTGATGAATGGAGCTCCCCAGTGCCCTAT